CCAAACCGCCTCTGCCCTTAATCCCTGGGTGCCAGGTAAGGCCTCAGCCCTGTGCATCCAGCTGGCTGGGCTGATCCCCGGGAGGGGGAGACCCCCGTGGGACCGGGTAGCGCCCTGCCTGGCAGGTATGGCAGGGCTTGGCATGCGGTGTGGACCCTCATGCCGTGCTCAGTGACCCATGCCACCCGTGGAGGAAAGCTGGACGCCCTCCTGCCCCTGTCCTGCGAGGCGCTTTTCTTCTTGGGGCCAGAGAGGGGTTTGGGCTCTGCTGGGACCAGCCCGGGGAGGTGCCCCTTGGGCAGCCCATCCCAACATGTTCCCCTCCAGCCCTAAGTGGGCAGAAACCCCTGTCCGGGCTGGCGGCCGTGGCCTGCAGCGAGGTGGGCACGGTGCATCCTGGCACAGGGCAGCCGCCCGCCGCGGCTCCAAGGGGCAGCCAGGCTACAACAGGCCGCCGCAGATCCTGTGTACGCTCGTGCCCTTGGATCTTGCTGAGGCCAGGGCAGGTGTGCAGGCGCTACTGGCCCTGCCTTGTGCTATCGCCAGGGATCCCAGCTCATCCCTGTCCGGATCTGTCTGTGCCACAGCCGCTCTCCGCTGCAGGCTGCTTTCCGGAGGCACGGGCTGTGACCAGACCCCTAACCTCCAGCTCAGCGACTGTCAGGATGCAGCACTGAATCAGCCACAAACCAGCAAAGCAATAAGGAGAGGGGAGGGCAGAGGAGGGCTGCAGCAGCAAACGCTGCTCGCTTCACACCACACCCCTGGCCAGAGCGCTGGAGCGACCCGAGATCTGGCCGGCGCGCTAGGTGCGTGCCCGTAGACGACACAGGCAAGTGAGGGGTGCAACGTGGCGACGTGAAGGCACACGCCCTACAAGCCAGGCTCTGAGTTGACCCGGGGTGCCTCCCGCAAAGGGTCGGTCACGTTGTGCCTCGCCAGGCTGCAGCCAGGGCAGTGCTGGTTGGGCCCAAGGGAGAGCAAGGAGGCACCCTGGCGCGGGGGGTCCGGGAGGCTTTTCCAGGCGCGGGCGGGGTGGGGGGAGACAAGGCCCAGAGCCAGGCAGGGGTGGGAGACACCTGGCAGAGAAGAGCGGACGAAGACGGGGCACCGGCCTGTGCCCGCTCCATCCTCCGCCATGGGGGGAAGTGGTGGGCAGTGCACCGCGACCCCCACCCGGCCGGGTGCAGGTGGGAAGCGTCGCCCCGAGGGGCGCGCCTGTGAGACTCGGCGCCCCGGGAGGTGCAGGGGCACGGCCAGCCGGGCGCCCACCCAGCACCCCGGCGCTCAGCAGCTTGGACAGGCAGGAGCCAGGGATGATTTCCCCAGCCCCACCTGTGGCAGCCTGAGCTGACTGACGCCATCCTCCCCCAATGAGCCGGAGCACGGAGCCAATCAAGGCCCTGCCTTCCCTGCAAGGAGGGGCACATGCTGCTACAAGAGAGGAGGAGAAGCAATTCACAGGCAGATCAGGTGGAGGCACCGAGCAGGGCTCTCCCCAGTGCATGGGCAAGGAGCCTCCTTCTGCTCAGACCTTGGACGTGGGGCCGGAGAGGCGACGGCAGCTTCCCCTGCAGCGCGAGGCACCCCTCAGGTGAGGGGCAAATACAAGCTGCTAGAGGATTTGGGGGGTAATGTGTGGGTGGGTGCTGGGGGAGGTGATGGGTATAAAATGGAGGGGCCAGAAGAGCCAGTGCTGGTGCATGGTGGTCAGAGAGCGTGTCCCTCTCGGGGAAGGAAGGGGGCTCGGGGCTGCACCCCTGCTCCTGAGCTCGGGGCACGGCTGGGCTGGATCCTCCCAGGCACGTGCTGGCATCGGCTGCACATGAGCCGCTGTGAGCAAAGTTGCTTCTCGGGGCGGAGGTAACGGGCTGGATCCGTCTCTCCCAGTCCGGGTGCTGGAGACGTGGCCCCCTGCTAGCGCTGACCCAGAGCTCCAGCTCGCTCTTCCTCCTCCTCCTCCTCCGGGGAAGTTTCCCAAAGCCCCAGCAGCAGGTCTGGCAAATCCTCTGTCTGAGCTGATCTGCTGCTGGCATGAGAGGGGAGCCCTTCCTCTGGGGAAATGGGGTGGGGGGCTGCTGTCCACTGACCCACCACTTTTCCCCCATCTCTACAGCCCCCATGGTGGAGGATGGAGTGGGCACAGACACCCGCTGCCCCCTCTCTGCGTCAATTGACCTCCCTCTGGCAGGGCCCGAGGTGCGGGGCTGGGACCGCGGGGTGCTGCGGACCCCAGCGGCTGGGCTTTTCCAGGAGGATGCGTGCATGTGTGTGTGTGTGGGGGGGGGGGGGGGG